GTCCGTGTCAGTGTAAATTACTTGTACCTGATGATGACAAAACCTTGTTGAAACGTTGAACATTTGCTGTTTTGTTAAACTTATATTAAAGTTTTTCTTCATTACCCATTCAAGCCGTCTCCAACCATTATTAGTCTCAAAGTTGGTTCCTCGTCATCGAAATTGGTATCTTTTGTTTTCAATTCACACTAGCCATTTTATTTACACCTTTATTCAATATTTGAAAATTGAAGTGGTTTATTATGGTTTTTAGCTTATAGCAGCAAGTTTTTATTCGTTAAAAGACTTTGATAAAAAATAATTTTTCGCACACAATATTAAAAAAAACAAAACGCAAATGGTTCTACAATTTTAAGATCTTCGGACTTCTTCGCCATCTAGTGACAATATCTTAAAGTACTTAGTCGTTGTGCTTCCTGAAATGAAATGAAATTAGTTATCAATACAATATCTTGGGAAACTTTGTGAGAAAAAAGAGGAAACATGAGAGAGAGAGAAAGCCAAAGCATAGGTGTTGTAAACTTTCTCTTAGATAAACTTTATGACTTACAAAAAGCACTCATAGTGCTCTTAGATAAACCTTCGATATCCTTGTTTGACATAGAGATAGAAACAGAACACTATATTTTATTGTTCTGTAAATTAATTTTTTGGTAAAGTTATTTCCTTTAGTCAGCTAGGAATTATCTTTCGTTTATTTTATTCTCGGGTGTTTTCAGTTGGCAAATAAATTTTTATGCTTTTTGAATAAACATTTAACTACGAAATTTATAGTACTAATTAAATGTTACAAATGGAAAACCTTTTCACTCTACTAGTTTACGTGAATCATATGCGCTTTGTAACAGTGGAATAACAAAATCATCCAATGAGGCACATACGAATAATAATAGATTTTTTGTAACTGCATATGTTACCTGATGTTAACCTAGATGGAGCCATAGTAGTTATTTGACTTGTAAATGAATGAACATGTATGTAAGACTTTTTTCATATGTTTATTGGTCGAAAAACGTACTTAAATAGCGCAATGTAAATAGTGGAAATGTATTAGGTACAAGTAGTGAATACTGTCTGGTATATGTATATATACATACATATACCTGTATGGTATCCTGATAATAGAAAGCGTTAAAATACATTTAATTACAATAACCCTAAGATTCATTTTAAAGAGATATTAGTGATACAGAATGAATTATTTAATTCATAAACATATAAGGAATATTTTATGAACTGTTTAGTTTACCCGAAAATACATATTTAAAGAAATTCAGTTTTTATTTAAAAAAACTTTCAAATTCTAACTTAAGGCTGTAATGATTAGGACCTTTGATAAAAAAAAAAGCTTACATATTATGAATGAAAACCCAAACCTTAACAAAAATATCAACTCTTTTCCTCTTGCTTTATTCAAATATCTTTTTTTAGATGAACATTTTTATTTCTTAACAGAGTTTCGTTATAAGTTAATGTAAGTTCACTCTAGTGAATATTTTTATTTTTTAACACAGTTTCGTTATATTTTAATGTAAGCTCACTCTAGTGAATATATTTATTTCTGAACACAGTTTCATTATATTTTAATGTAATTTCACTCTAGTGAAGATTTTCATTTCTTAACACAGTTTCATTATATTTTAATGTAAGTTCACTCTAGTGAAGATTTTCATTTCTTAACACAGTTTCATTATATTTTAATATAAGTTCACGCTATTGAAAACTTTTACTTCTTAACACAGTTTCATTATATTTTAATGTAAGCTCACTCAGGTGAATATTTTCATTTCTTAACATAGTTTCATTATATTTTAATATAAGTTCACTCTATTGAAAACTTTTACTTCTTAACACAGTTTCATTATATTTTAATCTAAGTTTACTCTAGTGAATATTTTTCCTATTGATTATTACCATGGACTTGCTGATGATGGAATATGTATAATTCCGAAACTTTCAATTCTTAAAGATGCTTCCATTTTTTTCCGTATCCCTACTATTTATGTTTTGTTGGAGTTAAGCACAAAGCTATATAAGGGGCTATCTGTGCTCTGCCCACCACGGCTATCGAAACCCGATTTCTAGCATTGTAAGTCCGCAGACATACCTCTGTGACAGTGGAAATGGGAGGGGGGCATTTAACCTAACGATGATAATTATGCTTTAAACAAATATATTGACACAAATTATATTAATTTGGGGGAAAGGTTTTCCAGGGGTAAATTAAGTCGTAACTTTTAATAACTCAACAGCCTGTTCCCAGTTTTTCTTATTATTGGTAGTCTGTAACAGCCACTATGCACTGGATCGACTTATTAATGATCTGTTATGCGTCTTCACTGTCTATTTATTTGTTTGTTTTGTTGTTAAGCACAAAGCCACACAATAGGCTATCTGTGCAGTGCTCACCACAGGTATAGAAAACCTATATTTAACGATATAAGGTTTCAGACTCATCGCTGAGCCACTGGGTAGGGCATGCTTTTTTATTGTTATTAACAAGTTGAAGTAATTTTTACATCTTTTTTGTGTTTAATGGAGTTGTCAGCTATTGTGGCTGTACAATTAATTAGCTTTTTTGCAACTGCATATGTTAACTGATGTTAACCTAGATGGAGCTATAGTAGTTATTTGACTTGTGTGGTAAATTAATGAATATGTAAGACTTTTTTCATATGTTTATTAGTCGAAAAACGTACTTAAATAGCGCAATGTAAATAGTGGAAATGTGTTAGGTACAAATAGTGAATACGAAACCAAATCCCTTGAGACAGTAGTCTATTAACTCGCCGAATGACCCTGGCAAGATACATAACTACCACAGTCTAAATTACGTAAAACGATAATAATATTTCACAGTGAATGAAATGTGAATAGTGAATACGAAACTAAATCCCTTGAGACAGTAGTTTATTCACTCGCCGAATGACCCAGGCAAGATACATAACTACCACAGTCTAAATTACGTAAGACGAAAATAATATTCCACAGTGAATGAAATGTGTTGATTATCACATCTGTAAAATTTAATATGAAATGTTTAAATTATATATTTCTTCAGAGAAATAATCACATTATATAATAACGGATTGCAGACATCAATGGAGGAAAATGTCG